ATGATGTTCTATGCAAATGACCTTCTAAAGAGCGTTTTACTTATTTCTACCACATTTAAACTTTTTTCCTCTTCTAGAGGAACAGATGGAAAGCAAAATTGTAAAGTTTGAGGCATCAAGAGGAACAAAAGAATTGTACATGTGGAAAAAAAAAACCAGAAATACGTCTTTTGCTGTATCATTGTTTATTTATATGATGCAAATAAAAAAAGGAGGAGCTAACTCCTTTTTTCTCAAATAAATTGTTAAACCAGGTAACATATATATATATAAATATATATATATATATGTTTAAAATATAATAGAGTATATATGTATATAATTTATATATTTATATAATAGAGTGGTGGCGATAAAAACGGGAAACTGCAAGGCCGGTTATAACTTGTTTTGAAACTTGAGTAAAGTAACTTTTTATGTCTTTGCTCCTCTCTTATGAATTTTTTTGGTATTTTAAAGCATTTTCTTACTGATTCAAAAGGTAAGAAAATTTATCACATTTTCAAGAAAAAGATATTCAAAGATGCGGAAGCATCAGCTGATTACTTTTCCAGTACAAAGGGAACAGCAAAAAGTGTTTAACAGATTTTCAAAACAGGAATGTGTAATAAGTTTGAAAATTTATAGCTTAAGGTAACAATATTAAGTGATTCAGTACTTAATTGGATAGCCGTTAGCATCAATATGACAACCTGGCAGCGGCTGTGCATACTGTCGGCCAGATTTTCACATGTCAACGACGAAATTTTTCGCCACGTACTACTAATTAGTTCATTTGAAGCATCTAGAGTACGTGGTTTTTCGTTGTCAGCCGCTCTGTTTATATCATTCCAGAGATTCTTGATCGCTTTTAGGTTCGGTGATTGAGAAGGCCATCTAATCACGTCTTTTCCGTTTTGGCTTGCCCAACGACTGGTTTTTTTTAGGAAGAGTTTCTTTGATCATTATTTTGTTGAAACACCCAACGCAATAAAAATTTTCATTTTATTTTTTCTTGCTTATAGTTGACTTATTGAGCTAAACTTTTCGCAGATCTAGAGTACTCTAAAACACCAGTGTTGCAACGCTTATAGGAACTGCTATAAACTAAGGAGTCTCTGTCATTTACATTTAAATCAATAAAAGATTTACTTTTTTTGGCTTCTGAACGAGTGTGTTGTATTTAACCTTAATCATTAAAATAGTTAGGACATATATATATATATATATATATATATATATATATATATAGGCAGCAGTAGAGCCAAGAGCTATTTTTATTTATTAACATCTTATTGTATGCTTTAATGTTATATTTCTCGTCTCTTACCTGGTGCTCTCAGAATTCTTGATCACCGTTTTGAAACTTTTGATCTACTTGTAGCGAAAGACAAATGAAATTCTGCACTTTTCTGGTGCTTTTTGAAAGTACGGGAAATGCCTTCCAGTAACAACTATCAGTTCGGCTGAATTAAGAGTTTTTTATTTTTAAATAATAACTCCTCTAAGTCTACAGTTTTTTTGTATTTTTAAAACAGCTGTCGTATAAGTAAGCGAATATTAAGTGTGTATATTTCCATGCTCATTAGTAGTCTCTATATTTTTAGAGAATTTACAGCAAGGGACAAGTGGCACTTAGTTGCACTCTGTCCTTCTTTTTTAATTATTACCGCCTTCTAGTTCAAAGGTAGCTCAACATTTTTTAAATCACAGTTATTTCTCTAATACATTACGAATAGTAAAAAAAAAGAATGGAATCATGCGTTTTTTGTTAAAGTGGTGTATTTTAAGTTACCAGAGTGGAATTCGCAGAGACAAAGTTGGGAGGATAACAAAGACGGCGATCCAAAAAACTCTGAGGCTAGCAGTGGTGACGAATCACCTCCTTCCGATATTCCAGCTTCATCTAGTATATCCAATACAACTAACGTACTTGAATCTTTTGTTCAGGTGAAACTTTTTGTCAATTCTGATGTGTCTGCTTGCGTCAAAATGGCCTACTAAAGAGAAGGGGGGAAGTAGAGGGGAGCAAAGGGGGGTGGAGTGAAAAAAATGTACTCAACAGATGAACTTATATTGCATGAATTTGTTGTTCACTGGGGACTTACCGACCGCGAGGGTACTGAAAACAGCGTAATGAGAAGCTGTTTAGGACGATCTGTTTTCCCTTCAGCACCTATTTCCCTGGTTGTGGAACATCCCTTTTTTCATCTTGAATTACTGTGCAATTCATGCCGATTGACGTTGGACGTTTTTCCATTTATGACCATGTCATTATCACTGGCAGGATTTTTGTTCATTTGGCTAAACCGCCTTTTTTTGATTTGTTTAATGCTTCTTCCTCTGTTTGCCGGGGTTTGTTTCAAAGGGAGCATTCAGGTGGTGTTTTTTCCCAAGCTAAAAGAGTTTATTTTACGTCAGTAACAGTCAGGGGCACTTCTTCAGCCAAACCATATTCATGCTGCTCCTTAGTCAATTCCATTGCAGCCTTCTCCTGAAAGCCGTTAATTTTGTTGCTCATTTGTTCAACGGCACTGTTACTCAGCTTGATTTCCTCGATTATTCCAAACCAGTAAAAGGCTTCCATAAATCTTAAATCATTGGCAAAAAAATGGTTTTTTTCGTTGAAGGCTAAATAAAAAAAGCCTTGTTTCTCTTTTATTGCTCGTTTTTTTTTTTTTTTTTTTTCATTTGCAGAAGACCAAATAATGGTGTTGCTTGTTTTCTTGTTCCTTTTTTTCCTCATTTTTCCTTTCGTTGATTCATCAACGGTGTAGGATTGTGGCTAATTTTTAGGCAATTGAGAAGAATGAAGTAAACGAAAAGCCCGATTTAGAGACGCAGTTAAAGATTTTACGATGGATGAGGAATTGCGGTAGGGATGAGAAGGTAAGTTTTTTGTTTCACTAAATTTCTTTATTTATTTCTTTTTTGTTTTCTTATTTAACGATTAATATTAATCACATTAACCAGCAAAAAATAGAGATGGTTTTTTTCACAACTTTTTCTTCCTCTTTTTTTTTTTCTTTTGCACAGCATAAGTTAGGGAACGAATGAAATAGGTAAATTTTTTTTTGGATAAGGATGCTTGAAAGGGGTTTGATTGATCCAATTTTCTTCCATTTTTTTTATCACTTATGTATTTGCGTTTTACAGGAACTGCAGCTTAATTGAGCATTGCGAGAAAGAAATTTTCGTCAATTTACCGTATCTAAAAGAAATTATTCTAAACAAAAATGTTGACTTTGACAGCATTTTTTTCTCTTTTATAGCGATATTTTTCGTCTTTTTATTTATCTCTGTATATATTTCTTCTATTGAAGAAAAACGGAAAAAAATTTAACTTTTTTTTTGCTTTTTATTGTCTTTACTGGCGACTATTTTTCTGTGCTAATAAACGGTTTATCTTCCTGTTATTTTGCTTTATTTCTTCCGGTGCTATACTTTATTTGGTTTTTCTTTATTTCATTCTTTTTCTACTGATTATTTGCTATCGTTTTTTTTCATCTTTTATTTGTTCAGTTCTTTATTTTTGTTTTTGTTCTTTTTTTTTCTGCATATACTTTTTTTGCTGACACTTGTATAGCCTCCGCATGATCAGTTGCTTCAGCTAGATTTGGGGTAAAAAAAATTTGTATGTTCTTTTTTGTCTGCGGGCTGTCGTTTCTTGAACAGGAAAAAAAAAAAAAGAAAACTATAACTGTATTGGCGTAATGGCGATTTGCGGATTGTGGAGTTTTTGTGAACGATATAAAATGGGCTTTAATGATGCTGTTTTAGCAGTGTTTAAAATTTTCACGACAGTTCGTTAATTATCAGAAAAGAATGGCAAATTTTAGGTGATAATAAACTGCAGGACTATTGGGGCCAATAGGGAACAACAGTAATAAAGATGGAGTGAAAAAGAAAGAAAAAAAAACTATTTGGCGTATAATTTTAAGCATTAAATTGTTTGAATTCAATGGCAATAAAAAACTTTGGTTAATTGAACAGAAAAAAAATTTTATATATGTTTACTCTTAGTTTTATTTTTTAAAACAGAATTTCTTTTGTTGCACTATTTTCTCAATTGTTTATTTTTTTCCTCTCTTTAAAGTTGTTAATTTCTTAGGAAATTATATTTAAAGTTTGAGGAAAACAAATATGAAAAAGAAAAGAAGAACAAATTTGGAAGAGGAAAGAAAGACAGGCAAAAATTTTTTATTTTAACAACAAAGGATTGCGGGAAATACTTTGCTTTTTTCTTTTTGTTTAATCTTTTAATCTATGAAACTAAATCTGTTTGTTATTATTTTTAATTAATCAACAGTTTTTTTTTTTAAAGTTGTTTTTTGTTTGCTTTTTCTTTTATTTAGTGCAGTAGTGAGAATTGAAATTAAACAGCTAAAAACATTCAAAGTTGTAGGCGTTTAATTGGCAATATTTATTTATTTATTTGTTTATCGTATTTACTTTACCTGTCCTTTGGACTCTGAGTATCACCTGTTTAAAGCCTGGTGATTAGTTGAGGACAAAAGAATCATTTATTATCAGACAAGCACATCCTCGTTTACTTAGCGTTTTGTTAGGATGCTCACGGCGGTGGTTAAAGGAAAAAATATCAAGCATTAATCAAAAGGTAGGCGCGAAGTTAATGCTTATTTCAATGGTAAACTTATCAAAAGAACTCTTTTCCAGCCTCCTTTATTTGACGCTCTTAACAACCTATCAACATTTAGCCGATGAACCTCAAGTAGCCCAAAAATTTTTATTTCTTTATAGGTTACAGCTAGCACCACCTGATCACTTCAGTGTTAATAGGCATAGCTTTAGTTGTTGTAGCTAAGTTCTCGCATACTAAAGCAGTATCTTTTGGGATGGTAAATAAAAACTGAAAAACAAATATTGGAATTTAAAAACAGAAATAAATATTTAAAAAAAACTTAAAAGAAGCAAGCATTTGCTGAAGCACGAGAAGGACATAAAATTTTATTGAAAAAGTAGTTGTTAAAGAAAAAACCTTGTAAAGGAGACAAAATTAATAACGTTGAAAATGATTTGAATGTGTTTTCAGAATAAAAAACGGTAGGAGAGAAGGTGGTAGGAAGGCGGAGGGCGAGTACTGTTATATCCATTGTTTAGTGTTGATAATGATGTTAATGATGGTGATGATGGTGATGGCAGCGCTGAGGCTAAAAATGACTAAGGTTGGATGTTGAAGTTTTGACAAAGAAAAAATTTGGGAATTAGCGTCTTTTCTGTCTTATTGAAGTTGATTGTCACGTGTAAAGCGTACTGAAGTGGAGAGAGGAGAAGGGAGATTGGAGAAAAGCGATGGGAGGTAGGGGAACGGAGTTAGGGATCATTGGAAGCGAAGAATGAAGATGAGAAAAAAAAAGAAGAGAAGCTTAACTAAAGTTTTAATGTATCATAGCTGTTGTTTTTCATTTAGTCTTATTATATTTTTCAACAAGATTTAAGCAGCCAAACAGATAAGTGCATCTGTCATTTTTATCGAGTATTTAGCGAATTTTGAAGAACAGAAGAAAATTTAATTCCGAAACTGTTTTGTTGGAGAAATTTTTTAAATTTTTTAATTTTTCTCGACTTGTTGTTTTGTCTCAAATGACAACAACAGATAACCGAAAAAACAACGACAGCAGCAACAGCAGCAGCAGCAACAACAACAACAACAAAAACAAAAACGACGGCAGCAACAGAAACAAAAACAACGGCAACAACAGTAACAACTATCTAAGCAGCTAAACCATCAGATCTTACCGTTGATTACCGCTGAATCTGTTGCTTGGTTTCTTTTTTCGCATTTCTTCGAACAGTCTTTTATTAATTTAATCTTTTTTCTTTTTTTTTTCAAAAACCATTTATGATGGTTATAATATAATTGAAATCAAAAAGAATATTTATTTTTTCTGTTCTATTTTTATTTAGTCTTCATTTGACATTATTTATCCATTTGCAAAAGTGTAAATTAGTAGTGTTGCAACATAACAAATATTCCGTTTAATTTTTCTGCAGTTTAAGCTATTTTTAAGATGATTGTCTGTATTGTAGTTGCCACTTTTGACTCTATATGACCTTGCCTGACACTTATCAGGATGAATAAATGTACAGCGAGTGTAGCAAGCAATCTAAAACTTTCTTAGTGCTAGATGGTTTATATAATTACTTTGCTCTCAAAAAAATTTTTTTTTGAAAGTTAACAAGTCAAATTAATGCCAACTACAGTACTTTTTAATGGGTATTAGTTAAAATACTAATTGAAAACCTAAAACTTAGTAGATACTTCGATTGTTGCCACAGAATTCTGTCATGCTCATTTGAGTTACCATAAAGAAAGAAATTCTAAAACAAATTTTGATCAATAAAGCATCTGAGCAAAGTTGCATGTATTTACAACAGCTTTTGAAGGAATATTTAGTGTAATTGAGGAATAAGGCAATTTTGAAGTTTTTCAAAGTTTTGAAGTTTAGTCATGAGGATTTTTTCTTTTGTCTTTTGCTTTTTTGTTTTTGTTACTTTTTGTTGCCTCTCTTCGCCAGTTATTAATTTAAGATTTATCAGTATCCCTTTTTTTATTTTTATTCTTGATTTTTTGTATCGTTATATCTTGGCGTTTTTTCTGTAAAGAATATTATTTTAAGCACTAAGAATTTTTCTCTGTCTCTACAGTTTTGAGTGGCACAGAGATGCTGCTCTTTTAAAAGCTGTAAGGCGTTGAAACTATGGCATCCGTTGGCTGGTGAAGCTGATTTCATGTAATGTTTTATTTAGTTCAGTCTTCTTTTCTCTCATTTGTTTCTTTCATTTTTTTTTTTTTAAATGGCAAGAGTTGAAAGACAAAAAGAGAAACAAAAAAAGACAAGAAAAGCTAGAAGAAATAATGCAAGAAGAAGGTTTTTTTCCTAGAAAGAAGAATCATTGCTGTTTCTTATTTATGAGGTTTAGCCGTTTTTCATGTTCATTTTTGCTTGCGGATAATTGCTGCTAATTTTCTATATGAATATTTTTCATTTTTTTTGATTTTTATTGCTTTAAAGGTTCAGGATAGTGTCTCTAAATTATTATTGTTATTGTTATTATTATTATTATTATTATTATATTATTGTTATTGTTATTAGTATTGTTATTATTATTATTATTATTATTATTATTATTATTGGTATTGTTATTGTTGCTATTATTATTATTATTTTTATTATTATTACTTTTAATATTATGGCTACTGTTATTACTTTTACCACTATTATTTTTGGATAACTGAGCGATGCCAAAAAGGAAAAAGAAAAAAAATAGAAAAGGAAAATAACAACATGCGCTTCTCATCTTTCATTTTTTTTTTTCTTTTAATCTGGTTTTCTGAGACAAAGTCTTTCTTCTATTAAATGTCTTTCCTCTATTCAGAGATCTTCATTTAATTAGTATACGTTATCCAAAGTTTCCACTATCTCAAGAGTCAAATTTTCTGCATTTTTAAATACAGATAAGTAAATATGAACAGCAAAAGAGATGCATGTTTTGAACAATTTTGGAAGAGCAGGAAGAGGCAGAGGAAGGAGCGAGCTTAACTGTCGATGAGCACAGTTTGTTGTTTGCCATATTTTGCAGTCGGGATCGGCTGATAAATTTTTCTCAGAAAAAATGTTTTTTTTTCTTTTTTT